TCTGGACGCCCGCAATGGGTGCGGAAAGAATTGGGTACAACGCCCAACAGCAGTTCCTGTCCCTTTTGAACAGGACTCGCTGTCGGCGTCGCCGCGGACCGTGCCCATTTGAGACAGGAGGCCGCCTGCCCAACAGCGGCCGCTGTTGGTTTGGGACAACATTTGCTGTTGGGCATTGTACCCATTCTTTCCGTACCCAATTCGGGCGTCCAAACAGGGGGGGGCAGCGGCAGGGGGAGCGGCAGTGGGCGAGGTCTCGGGCGTGCCTGTGCTCTCTCGGAGGTCGCGGGCGGGTCTCCTCCTCACGAGTGTTTTTTGTTGTGTCGGGAGGTTTCCTCCGAGGTCTCGGAGGCTCGAGGTCTTGACGTTTTCCCTCGGAGTGTCCTGGCATGCATGTCTGGAGGTCCTGGCGTTGCAATCTTAATCCCAATACGTTGCCACCGTGGCCCGAGAGCGCGCAGCGGTCGAGGCCAGACAAGGGGGTGCCGCATACTCCCCCACGGGCCACAGCTTCTGCCAGAGGCTGCGTGCACGCATGGCCTAGCGTTGCGAGAGCAGACATCATCGTGGTGCAGGTTTCTCAAAAATAGTGTTTTCGCCCAGTTTTGGGGCCCATGGCCTTGGGGCTTCGGTGGTGACTTTGTGCGATGTTGCAATGTGCTTTGTGAAGCGTCAGATCTGAGGGTCGCCGGACACGTGCAACTGTCAGGGGCAACGTTCGAGGGATCGGTGGTTCGAGGTTCGAGGTGTTCGGACATGTTCGTGGGTCCTTTTGCGCTCCTCCGGCCGCGGCATGCGTTCGAGTGGCTGCGCCTCACCGAGGGCCTTCCGGGGAGCCCAGATCGTCCCGAACGGCCGCCGGAGAGCGGAGTCATGTCATGGAGAGCAAGAGAGCACCTCACCCTGATAGCACGATAAAGGCGCGGCCTCACTGGGGTCCCCGTCTTCGCTTTAGGGGTGATACATGTGGGCGGTTTGGTCTGATACATCAACGGAAGAGTCCCCCTATCCCTCATGTTTTCGGCTCTCCTCACTCAGGTCCCCTCCCAAAGGGTTAGGGGTTCTTTTGTTGCTTATCATTCTGGCCCGCAAAACCAGGGGACACGGGGATAGGCTCAGGGGGGAACGCAGCGACCCCCAGACGCCCACTCATCGCCAATAGGGGCCGGATAGCCCATCTCGCCCAGGAACGTACGAATTCTCCGAGTCATCACCGGTTTATCGGCGGTGTATCGCCGATTCCATATGTCGCCGCGCCGTTTTCTCCGACGCGCGGCATGAAGTCTTGGGGAGAGCGCTTCGGTCGGACGCAGGGCTTGCCGTGAGTTTGCCGTGGTGCCGGCTTCGTTTACTTGGCGCGTTCAGAGCCAATGGTGCAGCGACGTATCGATGTTTCCCCCCCCGCCCTCCCCCTGAGCATTCGGTAGCACGTCATGGGAGCCTGGTATACCCTCTTGGTTCCGTCCTCGGCGTCGATTGGCGCCTGGGAGTCGACGAGACAGCGCCGATTCAGCGCTGGCTGGCGTCGACCTAGCGTCCATCTGGCGCCGATGGGCGTCGATTCAGTGTCGATCAGCGCCGATCCGCACAAGCCGACAGGATGATATGGGAGGCTCCCATGAGTTGCCGCCGGACGGGCTTCAGGAGGGAAAGAAGCACACAGACAGAATTAATCGGCGATTCCCCAGAAAATATGGGAAAATATGGGAAGTGGGGGGGAAGACAAAAAACAACAAACATATGGAATGATATCTTTATTTGTGTGTATTTATTTGTGTGTCCTTGGGCCCCTCCAGGCGGGAGCGCCGCGGGCTCCTGGAGCGGCTGGCGGGCGGCGTGGCGCCGAGCAGCCAGCGGCGGATGTGCTCGCTGGCCCCCCCTTGGGGGGCTCGGAAAGCGGCACGGGGAGCGCATGCGCGCACCACGCCGGGGGGGGTGCCCGCGGGCTTGCGGGGTCGGCGCTGCTCCCCACGGGCTCGGGTCGGGCGTGTCCCTCTGCAGGCTAAAGGAGGAATTGTCGCAAGGATCGTAGGAACGTAGTCCGGGGACGATTTCTGCGTGCTCCGTGGACTATTTCTTTGAGTTATTTTTGTGGAGTCTGTTAAGGTTTTTTTTAATGTTTCGACGAACTCGGGCTCTTTTGGCGTTTTTGTTTGTGACTATTTTTCATTTTTCCTCCAAGAGCCGCCTTTAAGAGAACATGCGCGGCCTAAGCCTTGATCTCGTGAGCGGAAGAAGGGGGGCCGCCAGAGGAGGCCAGGCCCAATCGCGCAGGCCATTGCTGGGGGGGGGCTATGAAGCCAATGGGCCCGCTGCAGAGGTCACTGTGGCGAAGGGTCGCTCTTATACGCGCGTAGGCGGCTCAGGACGAGGAGGATGAGGAGGACGAGGAGGACGAGGAGGACGAGGAGGACGAGGAGGACGAGGAGGACGAGGAGGACGAGGACAAGGAGGACGAGGAGGACGAGGAGGACGAGGAGGACGAGGAGGACGAGGAGGACGAAGAGGACGAGGAGGACGAGGAGGACGAGTGCGCCCCCCTCCTTCCCCCTTCCTGACGGGACCCCCTTCAAGCCAGGGCAGGGCGGGCTGCAGGCAAGACGCTGTTCCTCGGGTCCCTTAGTGGGCCCTTCCTCTCGCGCGCTCCTCGTGCATCCAGGAGCTGGCGGGGCTCAACAGAGGTTTGCGATCCTTGTCGAGCGTTCCCTAGCACGGCGACTGCAGCGCCGACCCGGGACATCTGCGCGGACTTCCGACGGCTTGTGTTTGTTGTTGTTGTTGCTGTTGCTGTTGCTGTTGCTGTTGTTGTTGTTGTTGTTGAATTCTCATTCCTGAACAATACCGTAGACGGGCTAACGGCTACGTAGGTAGCGGCGATGTAGGTTTCGGTAGTGTGGGAACGCGTGGCTCGCGCTTCCCCACAATTTGCTGTGTCGTGTTCGCTCGATCCACTCGCAGGTTGGGGATGTAGGAAAGTGTGGTTCGTGATTTCCTACCATTTGGTTCCCAACATCGCCGTTAAGCAACATCGCCGTTAGCCTGGCCTTGGCAATAATTATTGTTAATCCCCCCTCACCGGTGCATATTGTTTTTCTCCATCAAGGTGTGCCCCTCGACGTTCGCACCCTGTTTTTCGACAGGGGAAGTCTTGGTGCTCAAACTGGGCCCCTGGCCCCCCTGGATTACAACAACAAGGGCTCCCGCCTGAGACTTCGTCCAAATTTACTCAGGGCTCCCGCTCCTGAGACTTCCTCACAACTTACTCAGGAACGGTGCTCCCGCCGATGACACCCTCGCAATTCAGTCAGGACCCCCGCTCCCATCTGAGACTTCCTCACACTTTACTCTTGAACGGCGCTCCCGCTTGAGACCTCCTCGCAGTTGAATCAAGACTTCTTCGCAATTTAATCAAGTTCCCCGCTCCCGCCAGAGAACCCTTCACATTTTATTCAGGAATTGCGCTCTCGCCTGTGTCTTCCATGCAATTTATTGAGAAGTCGCGCTTTCGACACTCAGGAAACACGCTGCGCCAAGGACGCCGTTACAATATACTTAGTAATCGCGCTCTCGCCATACTCAGGCATCCCGCTTGAATGTCCCACCCGCCCGACCCGCCCGCCAGGGGATCGCTCGCCCGTCGTGGGCTCCCGCCCGAGACTTCCTTCAGGAACGGCGCTTTCGCCTAGGACTTCCTCGAACGTTCACGCTCTTACCTTCCTGCTCCTCCTCCCTCTCCCTCCTTCCTCCTCCCTCCTCCCTCCTCTCCTCCCTTTTCTCTCCCTCCTCTCTTCCGTCTGTGCCCTATCCCCTCTCCCTCCTCTCCCTCCTCTCCCTCCTCCCGTCTCCCTCCCCTCTCCTGCCTCCTCCCTCTTTCTTTCTCTTTCTCTCTCTCTCTCTCTCTCTCTCCCCTCTCTCTCTCTCTCTCCTTTTCTCTACCTCTCTTATCTGTGTTTTTTTTTTTCTCTCTCTCTCTCTCTCTCTCTCTCTCTCTCTCCCTGCCTCTAATCAACCGCCCACCTCTTCGCTCCTTCTCTCCTGGCGCTTTCCCACTTCCTTCGTCCCTCCCCCTCCCTTCCTGCCACTCTCCCTCGTTCTCCCCCTCCTATATTTGCAGGGCCGACACCACTTCCAATGGCGGGCACATGTCCGCCCACGAAGGATTGTCCGCCCGTTCAGGTTTGCCCGCCTGTCTAAGCCCGCCGCCCCCTGCAAAGAGAATCCCAAAGGGGGTGTGATCGAAGACAAAAAAGGGCGGGTATCGAGGGTGTGGGGGAATTCGTTTTGAATGACACGCGGGCAAGTAAGAGCGAACAGTCTTATACTGATTGTTGTTGTTGTTGTTGTTGTTGTTATTGTTGTTGTTTTTGTTTGTGTTGTTGTTGTTGTTGTCCTCGTTGTTGTTGCTGCTGCTATTGTTGATGTTTTCTTCGCTGTCGTTGCTGTTGTTGCTGTTGTTGGTGATGTGGTTGCTGTTGTTGTTGCTGTTGCTTATGCTGTTGTTGTTGTCGCTGCTGCTGTTGTTGATGTTGGCGTTGACGTTGTTATGGCTGGTGATGCTGATGTTGTTGTTGCTGTTGCTGTTGTTAGTGTTGTTGTTGCTGTTGTGAGTGTTACTGTTGTTGGCGTTGTTATTGTTGTTGGTGTTGCCGTTGTATTGTCGTTGTTGATAGTATTGTTGTTGCTGCTATTGTTGATGTGTTCGTCGCCGTCGTTGCTGCTGTTGCTGTTGTTGTTGTTGTTGGTGTTGTGGTTGTTCTTGTTGCTGTTGTTGCTTATATTGTTGTTGCTGTTGTTGTTGTTGATGATGTTGCGGTTGTTGTTGTGGATGTTGTTGTTGTTGTTGCTGGTGTTGCTGTTACGGTTGTGATGGTTGCTATTGGTGGTGTTGTTGTTATTGTTGTTGTTGGTGTTGTTGCTGTTGTTTTGTCGTTGTTGATATTGGTATTGTTTTGTTATCGTTGTTGTTGTTGTAGTTGTTGTTGTTGGTGTTGTTGTTGTTGCTGCTGCTGCTGTTGTTCTCTCTTTCTCTCTCTCTCTCTCTCTTCCTTTCTCTGTCTCTCTCTCTCTCTCCCTCCTTCTCACCTACAGGCCATCGGGCCGACCGGAGGCCGCTCGGAGGACGAGCCAGTGGAGTGCAGCCCGCACCACGACCTGGACCGCGTGGGCTGTCTGGTGCACTCCGCCGCCGACGGGCGCCCGGCGAAGATCCCGCTGTGGGCGGAGCGGCGGCGGCGGGCCGACGCCGTGGGCAGGCCGTCGAGGGACGAAGCACGACGACGACGACGAGCAATGCGTCGCGGGATCTTGTCTTTAATTGGTAGGCCCACAGCGGCAAGGGCGCTCGAAGACGCAGACGTGCACCGCTGTGGGCGGGCACAAATCGGCCACGGTTGCGCGTAGATCGCGCGCGCGACAGTGCGACGCGACCGCGGCCTCGCTGCGCAGGCGTGATTTTGCCGCTCCGCCGCGCGCCGAGGATAGGCCGCCGTGGGGAGGGGGGCGCTGCCCCCCCGCGGCGCGTGCGTTTCGCAGGTAATTTGCAATTTGGAGGAGGCGCCGCGCGCGCGCGCGGCGGGTGCCTCCCTGGCGCGCGTTCGCTCCTGGGGCCCACCTGACGGATCTGTTCTGCTCTAGATCGACTCAAGTCCTACTCCAGTTCGACTCAAGTCCGACTCCGGCTCGACTCAGGTTCGGCTCGGGATCGGCTCAAGGCCGACCCAAACCGACGGACGTCCGACGCAGCTTCGACGCACGAGTGGAGCGAGTGTCTCCAGGAAGGTCACCAGACTGAGCATCCAATTGTCGACGCTGACCTTGGTCATGTCCTATGCCGGCCGTCGCCGACTCACGAGGGTGATCCCCAGACAGCCGATGTCTTTTTGTTATTCAACATGGGGTCCCCAGAGGCCCCGACCCTTTCCCCAGGGTCAGTTTTTCAGCCCGAGTCGCTTTTTGACGGCCCGGGGCCTGGCGAGGGCCCCAAGCGGCCGAAAACTACCGTAACGTTTGGTAGCGTTTTTTTTGTTTTCCACGACGCGAGCGTGTCTGAGGTTCTACTTCCGTCGGCGCGGGGGTCGCCAAGGGGATAGGGCGGTTACCAGTGGATGCAAATATAGTTACTTTCTGGCCCAACCTAGCTTCTAAGTGGGTGGCATGTGCCCAGAGTGGCTTAACAGGGCCACGTCATTTCAGCAAGTCGGCCCCGACCACTTTGCCCATACATTTGCCCCCGGAAGCCGTTGAACCCACTTACATGCCAGGCTAGGCCAGTCATTATCTACCCTGGCATCCAGTGATAACCCCCATACGGCAAGTTCGCGTCATGTCGACTGGCGGCGACCCCGCCGCCAACGTTCAACGTTGAACGCCGCCAGGGACCCATAATCGGTCGATGTCGAACGATCTGACGTTTCGGAAACGGCCGATCGTTCAAGGTTGAACGATCCACGCGGTGTCAGAAACCAGCGTCAGAGACGTCACGACACGATCCCTTTTATCCGCTTCGCAAGTCCAGCGCCGATCCAAGTACACCGACGCTTCCGCGCTCAGTCTTGGCCATGGCTAGCGTTTCCATATGACGAACATCCAGGGGGCCTCACGCGGCGCGCAGTAGTTGTCTCAACTTGTCTGCGCGTCCGTTCCGCAAGATATGTGTCGACGTTCGCGCAGCTATGCTCCGACGTAAGTCCGACGTGCATACATCGGACCTACATCTGACGCAGCCCGACGGGAGTCCGAGTTACATCCGACGTGGGTCCGACGCACACTGGATTTTAATTTGCCGCGGAGGCGTCCAGTTACCAGCCGGGAATTTATCCCTATCCTTCTGATTGGTTTCGGATTGGTTTCGCCGCGTCTCGACGCCGATGTTGACGATTCAGTCAGTTTGCGAGGGTGCCTCCATAAGGTCGTCATCGCTTTTTCGCTTGTCAGCCTTAGGGACAGGGATACGGCCGAGGCTGGTTATCTAGGGTTTGTTTCACAAAACGCTTCCGCACTCAATCTTGGCCATGGCCATCGTCGTCCCCTCTCCTCCAGGCTGAGGGGCGCCCAGACCGGCGCCCTCCAGAAGTTTGCGGGGTTGCTGGCGAGCCTCGCGTCGCTGTTCGAGGCTCGGGCCGGACGGGAGGGCAGATCTCGGAGGACACGATTTGTTTCCAACCATGTCCTCGCTTTGAATGTGGAGCACCCTGCGTTCCTCTTTCTATCCTCCTCCTCCTCCTCCTTCTCCTCATCCTTCTCTTCTCATCTTCCTCCTCCCCCTTGGTTGCGCCCGCATGCCTTCTCCATACCATATCGGCGCACCCTTCACACGTTTCGTGGCCCAGTAGGGAGCTCCACCCAAGTCCCCAGTGGCTGCGCCCGCATGCCTTCTCTACAATACTTCCGCGCACCCCAGACGCGTTATTCCGTGGCCCCAGAAGTGAGCTCCACCGAAGACGATATTGACAAACCTGCATATGGTTGGGCTCTGCGCCAGGCTAATTCTCAATCCCGGCGCTTCTCTTCGATGCAAGCCCGGGTTTCCGACGATGCGCGCTCCAATCTGGGCGTTGTTCTTCGATCTTCGATGTCGCCCTCCAGGGGGCGTTATTGGGGCCTGGGGCCTTCAGGAACGGGTCCCTGACCACATGTGATGCCGCTGCGTAGTAGGATTTATTATTAGGGGAGCATCGCGCGTCAGTGCAGAGCATTCCATGCCTGGGTAACGAGCTGCGTTCACCGCAATGCTCAGGAGAACGATGCGTGTGAGTAGGTACTGCAACGTCCGACCTCGAAAGGGTACTGAACATCAGGAACAACAAGTTGTCCTCGGGGAAGCGGACGGGGTCTGCCCGGGGACGCGGGCCGAAAGCACCGGGGATCGGCGGATGTCAGTCCACGGGCGTAGAGCGGCACGGGATACTTGTTTCGGCTGTCGGGGACGCCGCTCGGGAGGAGGAGGAGGAGGAGGAGGAGGAGGAGGAGGAGGAGGAGGAGGAGGAGGAGGAGGAGGACACATCATGGTATGAATTTTCCAGCCGCCCTGGGATTGGCGCCCCCGGCCCTGGAGGATCAGAGAGCCCCTAACCCTCATGACACGACGAAGGGGTGGCCACACTGAGGCCCCCGTCTATTCGCATTCGGAGCGGTACATCTGGGCAGTTTGGCTCGATACACTCGCAGAACAGACTCCCGTATCCCAACTGTTTCAGGCCTTCCTAGCTTGGCCCCCGCCCAGAGAGTTAGGGATCCCTTGCTGCCTGATCACCCGGTGCCGGAACAGTCTGCGGTGTAACGTTCTTCCCCCCGCTGAGTCGGGGTGGGCCGGGGGAGAGGTCGGGCGAGGGGAGCCACGAGATCTGCTGCACGCAGCAGGTTTTTTCGGCCCCGCCGCTGGGCGCTCTCCTCTCCGTGCACGGGCGTCCCAGCGGGCGCCCGGGGGGTCGCCAGCAGAGCAGCCACGCGAGCGGATTGGCGCCCCCCGCCCTCCTCCCCCTTTCCTACCCCTCTTTCTCGGGTCGCACGAGAGGGGGGGGGGTAGTTGAAGGGAGGGTTACGAGGTCTGCTGCGTGCAACGGGTGTCGGCCCCTCCGCTGGGCCCAGTCCTCGGTGCATGGGCGTCTCCAGGCGTCAGGGGGCGCTGGGACAACTAGCTACGTGAGCTGACTCTCTACCCTGCTCTTTGCTATCTGTACCCTTCTGTCCCTCCCCCCCTTTTCATCCGATCCGAGAGGTGGATTGCTGCGAGCGCGTCCACATATTCGAGGAGGATGGACAGACCGTCGCTTTCAACGGCTTCGGGTTGTACTTCAACCTGCGCTTCTTTGTGGAGGACCGCCCGTGCCGTGTCTCGCAGTGGGAGGGGGATGATGACGAGGATGCGGACGAGGATGAGGCGGAGGGCGGGTATGAGTGGGACTAGGGTGGCTGTTTGGGCTGCGTGTGTTGCTGAGCGGATGGTTGCGTTACCACCTTCGACGACGACTGAGTGCCTGGGTCGCCCACGTTGTGAGCGACGACGCTGCGCGTGTAATGCCTGCCGCCGCGCTTCGCCGGGGGCGGCCGCCGTCTGCTCGAAGCGGAGTTCGCGGCGGGGAGCGGCCCAGACCTCCGACGACCTGTTTTTCAATGCGCGGCTCCCGAGGGCTCGACCCCGTCCCTGGGGATCGTTTTGCGTCCCCGGTCAGTCTTTGATGGTCGCGGGGCCCACGTACGGCTCCCCGAGGCCGAGCTCGAGGAAACGCGACACAGGCTGACGAGGTCATCTCGCGGTCGGGCGTCGCGCAATGGAGGGCGATGAAAAATCAAAAAAAGGGAAGGGGGGGGGGGGGCCCCCGAACTGTGTGCTCCTCTTGTGTGCGAAGGGGGGCCGTGGAAGGGGCCCCCTGGGGCCCAACCTGTAGTTCTCGCTTCCCCCCGTGAAGTAACGCCCAGCGGGGGAGATCCGGGAGCTCGCAGACCGACCGCACCCGCGATGTGTTGCCGCGGGCGGCGGCGGCGACGCGCGCAGGGACCCCCGGCGCGCTGCCTCCACGGACGCACCTCGCGCGCACACAGAACCCCCCCCCCTGCCCTGCCGGGCGGATGGGGAGGACGGGGAGGACGGGGAGGAGGGGGAGGAGGGGGAGGACGGGAGGACGGGGAGGAGGGGGAGGAGGGGGAGGAGGGGGGGGAGGAGGGGAGGAGGGGGAGGAGGGGGAGGAGGGGAGGAAGGGGGGGGGGGGGGAAGGGCGGGTGGGGAGGGGCGGATGGGGAGGAGGGGGCGGAGGGGTGGATTGGGGAGCGGAGGAGGAGGGGAGGGGGGGGGAGGGGGGAACGGGGGGGGGGGGCAGGAGGCGAGGAGTGGAGGGGGGGAGGGCGTGGAGGGGGGGGGCGGGGGACGGCGCCTTCCGCAGGCGCGCCGCCCGCCTACCGCCGCGGCCGGCCCCCGTCGGCCGCGTGCGCCTCGCGCGCGCCGCCTCGGCCGCGCGTGGCCCGGCGGCGCGGCCGGCTCGGCCCGTCGGGCGCGCAGCCGCAGGGCGGCGGAGGGCGCGCAGCGCTGCGCGCGCGGCTGCCGTGCGGAGGGGTGGCCTCGGCTCCTCGGGTCGGTCGCCGTGCGCGGCGTTCTCCACCATTCGCATTTGGACGCCCGACATGGGTACAGTCGGGGCCCTGAAGAAGGAGCCCTTTTCGTTGGGGAGGGGCTCCGCGTTCCTCAAGTGTTTCGCAGCTTGCCTCAGGCTTTCCGTAGGTTGCCGACAGGAAATGGAAGTTCAACTTCTGGAAAATAGGGGCCTCGTTACTTATTTAGGGCTACTTAGGGCAAGGCCCCGACTGTACGGAAAGAATGGGTACAATGCCCAACAACAAGTGTTGTCCCAAACCAACGGCGGCCGCTGTTGGGCAGGCGGCCTTCTGTCTTGAGTGGACGCAGGCCGCGGCGGCGTGGACAGCGAATCCTGTTCAGAATGAACAAGAACTGCTGTTGGGCATCGTACCCATTCTTTCCGTACCCATTTCGGGCGTCCAAATCGCAAAAGTGCCGATTCGCAGACGTCCGGAAGAGCACACGCCCGCATCGGCATCGACGTGAAGGTATCGCGAGTCTCCCATGGCGGAGCCAGGCCATGTGTGAGCAGTTACTTTGCGAGCAGTGGA